TCTGCTTAATTAATGTTAAATTAAATATTTTACTGAATGGGTTGTTTCAGATAATTTATTTTATAATTTATTATGTTGGAGGGCATATCTAATTAGCTCTTCTGAGAGAAGTAGGGTAAATTAGCCTGGATAGAGCTCTGGGCAACAGTTATGCGGTTTTTGGTGGCTCAAGCTAATTTGTTCAGATGCTATGTTTTACATAATACGGTGCAGGCATGCCCCAAAATTTTACTGGCTAGCAGGTGCTCTAAATTTATTAGATCCCTCCAGCTACACTAACATATATCATATGTCAGTAAGTAACATTGGTTTAAATGTAAATGGTATATGAGGTCTGAATCATAGCATCGTTATTCCATGGTAAATGTTAGTCCACCTGAGGTATGTGAAAAATTGTAGGTTAGTGTTAAAATATGTTTTCCCTTTGTCTTAATATTTTGTTGCAACAGAAGAAAAATACTGAGTTTTCTTCCTGATCCTCTTTATTTTCTCCTTACCAAAACCAATTCTGAGGACTTCTGTTCCAGCTATTAGGTGATAAGCGCATTTAGGCATGTAAGGACAATACTAGTCCGTCCTGCTCATGTCCTGAAATTCCATGAATGCATCTACTTTTATAATAACCATCTTCTTAACCTTAATACTGTGCCACAAAAAAGCATTAAGCAGGAGGATGACCTACTCACCTTTTGCATGTGTCTCTTACAAGGACTCAAACTCTCACTTTAGCAGCCATTTATGCATAAGTCCATTTATGTGCCTAATCATTGGACTAGAGTCTGGCTTTTCCATTCCTGTTTTAAATTGGTGTAGACCAGTTGATTTTACTAGATTTCTCTAGTTTACAAAAGTGGAGGATCTAATAATGGATTCCACTGATACTAAGAAATTTCTTTTTTCAGAAAAGGTGCATATAAAATACTTAATGGTTAAATGTGCAGAAATGTACATGTGATAGTGTGCTGCTTTTATTGCACACGTGCTTTCCCTGCCTTTAATAGTTAAATGTTTTCAAGAAAAGGGAGAAGAGGTTTCCATTACTTTTCTTGTCAAATTCAGTGTTGTTTCATTATTTATAAGGTTGTGTTGTGTTCTGGCTCCCTGTTTGTTTTTCTCACTATATACCATATTTATTGGAACCCAAGATGGACCTTTCCCCCCCCCCCAATAATTAGACTCTGTACGTGGAAAATGAATAGATTTATTATAATTTACCATGCATAGAATCTAATTATTGGAGGGTTGTCTTATTAGAATTAGGTTGACCCTAATTCATTCCCACCCACACTGCTGCAGAGGGGGGTAGGCAGTGGAGGAGCAGGTGATGTGGGGAGGTCAAACAGCTTGCCCCCTACTTGTGCCTACCCTCCTGCCCTTCTCCCTTGGCCTCTGCTCATCCTCCTGCATCCTCCTTTCCCCACCCCCCAGCCTCTTCTCTCCTTCCCCTCCTGCACAGCCTCTGTTCCCCATTTTATGCCTGGGGCATGAAGCACAACCCCAGCCTAGCTTAACCCCCTTAGCAGTCATGTGGACTGCATGCCACTGCTATGGGGCTGGGCTGGAGCCAAGCTCAGGGCCTCTGGCTGCAGCATAGATGGAGTCTGCTTGTGCAGACCAAGGGGAAAGGGGAAAGAAAGGGGCAGGCAGGAGAACAGAAACTGTGGGGGTAAAGATGGAAGGAAGAGACTAGAGGCAGGAGATGCTGGGATGCAGAGGCAGTTGGAGGGGCATAGAGAGCAGCTACAGCTACAGCCATGACTCCAGAGAGGGGCTGGACCCTGAGCCACAGCAGCTACCTGTCTGCCCCCCCCTCCCTCCCCCTGCCCCTGTCAGCCCTTCTACTTGATTCTAAGATGAGGGACTCCCCCCCATTAAATGGGGGGGGGCTTGTCTTGGAATTGAGTAAATACAGTATTAATGTTTGCAAAGAAATAGCAGAGCTGCAAATAGTCCTCTAGTTACAGAATAGAGGCAATTATAGTACAGGTTCCATTGATTGTCCTGCTAATTCCCTGAATCCTATTTGGGAAAGATCACTGTTCTATGCTAATGTGCCAACCCTGAAGCCCCAGAAGGTGACAAAAGAAACAAATAGGAGTTCTTTATAGAAAATCATAGGGGTTAGGGTCACAAGCCAAAAGGCCAAAAAGAGGGAACAGGTAAAAGATAAAGAAATGTCAGCATTGTGGTAATATATACTCAGCACCTTAATTTCCTTCCCACGCCTCTGGAAGTGTCCCTCAAATATGTCTTTAGTCCCAGAGCACTCAAACAGCAACCTACAGCTGCTCCCAAATTTGAGTCTGGCTCCTTCCATCCACAGTCCTCACTGACTGAGCCAGTGGGATCTCTTGTGTAGGGCTTACCAAGTTACATGTGCATCTGTTCTCTTTTCCTTAATCCAGCGTCAAGCTTCCTCTTCCTTTTTCCCTGCTCCTTAGCAGTCATCACAGCTCTGGAGACTTCCCCCTGGTTCCGCCTGCTGTTACACAAATTACACTCACATTACACTAGTTTATTTCTTGTTTCGTATGTGTAGGTTGACTTGTAGCTGTTTTGCACTCGTTGAGTGTCTGTTCTTTCTGAGTGATACTATGAGCGTACATGAGGGTTTTTTTGCTCTTGTGTTATTTTGCTTTTAACTAGATCAGTGATTCTCAACCAGAATGCTACAGCACCCAGAGGTGCCTATATATCCAGTCAAGGGTGGCACAGGATGCCATACAGTATTAGCACTGCAATATTAGGTTTACAAACATGATTCACAAGATAAAACTGTAGGCTGGATCCAGATGTCCAGGCACATGCAATTTATATTTATATGCAGGCACATGCTGCAGACCTCTTTGAAGTACTACAAACTGCACACCCAGCATGTCACAACATCCCCTGTGCTTCAAATTTGCAGTGCGGGGGCAAAATTTGCTACCAGGAAATCCCTGTAGCAAAATAAAAATGCCATGAAAAAAAGTGGCACAGTACACACCACAGGAGCATGCACCTGACATGGAAGCTTGGTCCTCCAGGGAGACTCTCTGGCTGTCTCCCCTCTTTTAGTTCCTCCCCAGCTTCTCCAGCACACCAGGAGCTGGGAGAAGCAGGGAAAGGGCAGTTTATCTGAAGCGGGACCTTTTGCCCTGCACCAAAGCACATGTGCAGGGGTGTGTGCAACAGCAAAAAGTAGCAGCACATTTGTGCCACTAATATTTTTGCCACTGCAAATGCACACCCTCTCCATGTGGGGCACACCCTTAGATTATAAATAGAAATCTATAGTTGTGGTCTTTCTGAGTTCTTTGGAACAGAAAAACTTCTGTATTATTTTTTGTAGTAAAAAAAAAAAAAGTGAAAACTAAGAGCTGACATTTTCCAAAGGGTGCCTCAAGTCTAAAAAGGTTGAGAACCACTGCCCTAGATCATAGAAACAGAAATAGGAGTAAACTACATAAACACACTTAGCTGTCTGCATACATTGTAACTTGCTGAACATGAAAAATGCTGGATTCATAGGATTTAAGCATTTATAATATGTTTAAAATGCAGGTTTTGCTATAATGTGTTTCTTAGAAAAAGAAAAAGTAAGAAAATTAATTTACATAACCAGCATTTTATTTAGTTGAGAAGGATGAGCATGGCATGTGTCATGGAACTCAACTCTAATAATTAAATGAGAGCAATGGGCAGGGACAGTACACAATTTTTTTCATATGAGCTTCTTCACTATGCCCTCAACAGGTCTGCTATTAGAAACCACTTCAAGGTGCAGGTGTGTGGTACATTCCTAGCAACCTGTCAGGTTTATGGCTATTCTAATGGGATTGTGTTGCAGCAGTGCCAATTTAGTGGAAAGTTTACTGGAGCACTGTGTAAGAACAATACCTTTCCCCTGAACTGGGACTGCATTAAGTCATATCACATATTAACTACATACATCATCCAGTGATTACTACTTAACTTGCTGCAGAAGAATCAGTCCTTTCAAGCACCATTTTTGAGGGTCTTTGTCATTAGTAACTGTGTTTGTACTTTATTCAAATGTCTCCTCCATTCACGTGGTCTACAATTAAATGGAATGTGGATTTGTCCCACCACAAAATGTTGCCATGGAAATGTATCTGATTTGAAAACTCATAAAATTGTACAAATTCACTGATCAACAGAGAATTTTAGGAAATCTTTAAAGCATGTTGTCTGGGGGTAACTCTGTAAGGCCGGGGCACCCGCCTCCCAGATGTCTTGCTTGTATGCGCTGTTTGGGAAGATGCTAGTAAGTATCACTGTCTTCTATCTCAGATGGTCTACTCTTGCCTGCCACATCTTGATGGAACCTTTAGTCTTGCTGGGAGTTGGAGTTAGTGAGACAATCACCCTGAGCCCTTCCCAGGGCTTCAGTGCAGGGCTCCTCCTCCTCTTATACCCCACTTCACCACACCACATCAAGTGGTAAATAACGTTGGCCTCGATCTTTCAGAGTACCGTTGTCCCGTCAACAGCTCTTCACTAGCTGGGGAAATGTCTGATGGTATATCCCAGAAAGATAATCAGTTTGGCTCAGGTGCCAACCAGATCCATAATTCATATTGCAGTCATTCAGGATCAATGCATATGAAGTCCATTCTGTAAAGAATCCATTAACTAATAACATGCATCCAATTTACCCAATTCATAGGGGAATCCCTTCAAACCCGATCCGATATATATAGGCCAGCAGGTAATCAATCCCAATGACATTCCTCAGCTTCAGATCAGTTATTCAGAAAACTTCCTGCCCTTCTGACATTGATCCATTTGTATTGTTGAAGTAATTGAGTAAAGTATGTACCCATATTATAGCAATTTTATAAGAATGTGATGGGGAACTTTATCAGAAGTCATACTAAAATATAAGTATACTATGTCCACTGCATGAGTAATGTCTGAAAGCAAGAGAAAGTTTTTATGGAGGTTATAAGAAATAATACTTAAACTTAGTTCTTTTCTGTTTTTTCTTTCCTCCTCAGGACATTAATGTATGTATTCTTGAAAATTATCCTGAGTGTTCCAATCCCAGGTTATTTTACATCATACCATATTTCTGTGGACAGCATCCAAGATGCAGGTAAATATATGAATCTCAGACCTGATGTAATAAAAGAAATAGGCATAAAAAACAGGTACCAATAGTTATATCAGACATGCAATTGATTTTTTGCTATCCTAAATTCAAAAGAAAACCTGTCTTGTGGCAGTTGGTGAAAACTGCATGCATATGTTACAAAATACGGGAAGTAATGTAAATTTGCTTTTCATTGACTCCATGCTTATAATTCACCAAATCTATATAGATTAGTATGGATATAGTAAAAAAATCACAGTGACAGTGTGTGTAAGACACAGTTTTAATTATGTGTTAATCAGTTTCATTGTAAATGTTTCCCCAAATTCTGAGTTCCATTTCTGTAATTAGATTCAGCTCTGCTCAGAAGTTCTGAAGGAGTTAAATGCTTTCATGACTCTGTTTTCAATAGAGAACTCCTAGTTTGTTTTGGCCCTGATATAGTAAACATTTGTGGTCCTATATTTAACTTCATGCACACAAGCAGTCTCACGGAGATGTATAAGTTACCATAATCGGGAGGGGGAGCTACAAGAAGTAGGGACAGAGAGGTTGGTCATTACAATGCCATGGACCAGATCCTGTTCCACTTATTAGGCAACTACATGTGTTCTGTTTCACCCTGCTCAAGTCCCTGAAAAAGCATTACCATGCCTGCGTTTGTTACATGGCACCATCGTAGTCTTAAGACTAAGTCACAAAGAGCAGTAAGTAGGAAGAGGATCCTTCTGCCTTCCCTGTTAACAGTTTTTTAGGGACTAAAATAGTGTGGAACAGGATCTGCTTAGGTGCTCAGGTGCATATAGATTCCTAATAGGTAGAATTCTGCCCTGCTTCTCTGCTGGAGACAGAGCTATGTAAAGGGAGTGGAGTGCCACGGGACAAATGATGTGTCCCAAATTGACTGTCCACCTTTTATAGGGCTGCAAAAGATGGCTATATAGAAGGAGAGTCCTTGCTGCAGGAAAGGCTTTTGTTTAGCAATATGCATAAGTGAAGTTGATGTAGTCAAGCCATTTTACCTGGATCTCCAGATAAATTGGTAAGCAAAAATTGTTGGGACCAACAAGTATTTATGGTAGGTGACATTAAAACCATGATGTCTATCACACTGTGGTCCCTGCACTAGTGAAATGTGGTGCTGTTTCTAATGGCACCCCACATACAAACCAGAAGGAAAGTCCTGGGGATTGGGATTGGTTACAGATATGAACTAAGAAAATACCCAAGAAAGAATAGATGAGTATGGGTTTGTGAAGGAAAGGATTGTGTGACCTTGTGTGTAAAACAACACATTTGATTCTGTACATCATAAGAAGTGCTTTCTTGCCAAGGTTGTAAACTTAGGTGGGAGACTATAAACATGATGAACCTAAAGTACCAGATATAGAATTGGGTCCACTGCTGAGACTGTAGGACTCCCACCATTTTGCTTAGAAATGGTGTACTCATTCCTCAGCCTGCCTGTAAAATTCAGCTCAGTCCTTTTTCTGTCCCCCTTCAAGAATGACAGAGCATACCAAAGAGTGTACCTCAGTCTGCAAAGACATTACATTCTTTTCCTATAGGCACAAGGTCCATTAGATATGTTTCAGTTCTGGGGTGACCTCTTTGTTCCTTTACCCATCCTGAACACCAACAGTAAGTTGCAAAGATAAAGGACTCCTGCAGATTGCTAACTGTGAATGTTCAAGTCCTACTTCTGCTTCACCTAACTCTGCCTCCCTAATTCTGCAAGAAAGGCAAAAAAACACCTCATTAGGTTCTAAACAACCCTTAAAATTGGACTGATAATCAGCATCCTAAAAAACATCTCCTATAGTACAGGTGCAGGGAGAAAGCAAAGGATAGCAAGAGGGAGCAAGGGAAAACCCAGAGAGATGTGAGAAAGAAGGGCCAATGACTTCTATGCCCCTTGCTGGCCAAAGAGAGGTGGAGACCACTCCACGAGGAAAGGTCTTCCTTGTGTTCTACAATCTGCCTTTAGGGCCATTCACAGACCAAGTCCTGTCAAGTCTTCCATCCACAGAGATGTATGGGTGGCCTTTTCAGAGCATAAATACACTGTTTTATGGGTGAGTGGTTTTGAGCTTCTTAAAGGAAGTTGTCAAGAGAATTGAGCACTGCTGCACAGTCCCCAACTTAATTTTAAAGGAATTATATTTTAACAAGGAAAACTGTATCTAGATGATTTGTGAATATGTTTTATGAACCACATAGACCTTTACTCTTTCTGTTTTCAATCAAAATGGTTTGTAAAATTATTCTGATCCAATAGAGTATCACAAAGCCTGGCTGCACATCTACAGAAATCCTGCCTGAGGACGGAGTATTTTTTTCTTATGTGAATTTCCAAAGTAAATGCACTATTTAAAGACCTTTTATTTTTCTCCCCTTAATATCCACAAAGGGAGCCTGGTGAATGGGCCCTTGAAAGAGCAAAATTGAACGTGAATGAAAATTTCCTGCTTGTGGGGATTCTGGAAGAGTTGGAGGATGTGCTGCTTTTACTGGAAAGATTCTTACCTCACTATTTCAAGGATGTGCTCAGCATTTACAAAAACCCAGGTAAGTTTTTCATAACAAAGCCTTTCCTTGTCATTACAGTTTCAAGATGCCTGTGGCTCCTTAAAGATGAGATGTTGTATCTTACTCAATAAAGCAATAACAAAATAGCTCAATAAAAAGACAATAAAAGGGGTAGAAGAATTAGAATATGGCACTGTATTCTTGTGAGAACAGCTTCTGTCATTGGGCCAAATGCTCCCCTCTGCATTACAAAATGGTAAAAAGGGTGGGGGAAATGGGCACACCTTTACAGATACATTTCCAAACATGGGGGTGGCTCACTGTTAATGTGATGAACACTCGTTAGAACACTGGAGTGGGGGCTCCAACACAAGGAAGCAAGTCAGGGAGCCAGGATACCTTCCTAGCCAGCAGGGAAATTACCCGGTGGGAATCTATAAACTGCTCCATTGCTCCTTACATCATAAGTTGTCCCTTCTCCAGCTTTCCTTGGTTAAAGAAGTAATGAACAGTAATGCTGAGAGAGAAGAAGCTTTGGGGAAGGAGTGGGGACTAGGAAAGTGGCAAACAACCCAGAAGATCTTGCTTATTTTTAAGGACCTCCCTGTGATAAGCCAAATGAGAGCAGATATCCCCAGCTATTCTTGATCTTTACACGGTTCTACAGCAGTATTATAAACCCCTGACTCATGAGTAAAAGTGTGATCCACCTCTGAAGTTGATGCATAGGGAGATTCTGGGATATAATTTCATCTCCTTTAGGTTTTTCTGTGTAGAATTTCACCTATCTTGCCTACACTGGAATTGGAGAATGGTGGTGTTTATTAGGAAGAGCTTTGGGGAACTAATCTCTTTTAACAGTGTTATTCATTAATTTTATTCTTCCAACCTTATTTCTTAAGGCTGAAAATAGAAAAGGAGCAGTTTCCTTGTTAAAAGCCCTCCCCCTTTCATAGATTTCATAGACATTAGGGCTGGAAGGGACCCCGGAAGATCATCCAATTTGCTTTTGAAGGTGTTCAAGGTAGGTGCTTGAACCACCTCCGATGCCAGGCTGTTCCAGACCTTGGGGGCTGGGACAGTAAAGAAATTCTTCCTTATGTCCAGCCTGAAACGGTCTCGCAGTAGTTTATGACTGTTGGACCTCGTCATCCCTTGGGGCGTTCTGGTGAACAAATCCCCCAGATACTGGTGGTTACCCCTGATAAACTTATAGGTGGCTATCAGATCATCCCTGAGCAGTACTCCAGCTGTGGCCTCACCTTTCTCTCATTTCGTTACTCATGAATACATGAGTGTTTTATTTCCAGTGGTACTTATTCTTAATTTATAAGTAAATTTTACACTCATGAATATGAAGAGCTAATAAAACCAACTAGAGCTAAGAATAATTGCAGTTGTAAGAAATCTTCCACATCTATCCTCAGTGACCAGTACTCCTGATCCACAACATCCTCTGCTGTTCCTTTCCCAGACCTGGTAAACAACAGAGGTATTATTATCATGCAAGATTGCACAGTAGCTCAGTGAAGGGACCAGAAGTCCATAACTGGCTGTGATAAGACTCCAGCTGTGACTAGAGCAAGGATTTTAAATTAGACCTGCACACTTGACTGATAAGAACACTAACCCGGTTTGCCACTGTGGATGCTCCACCTTGCCAGCTTACTGCATAGTGAAGATTAAAAAGAAATTTTAGGAAAACTTTGTCAACTGAATAGCACCCTCGTGAGTCCCTCATAGGTGAGAATGACAGTGTTATAGTTCAGTTTGAGTCAAACACAGTAGCTGTACTGGCCTATACATGATAAGCCTTTTTTGTCTCCAGTTTTGCAGCACCACACAATCTGCTGGTCCCCTGCAGCTGATACAGTCTTCGCTTTGCTCACTTCTCCTACCTAATGGTGTGCTGTTGGTGTGTAATAAGGTCTATGCCTTTCTCATCTAGATAGTCGATGCTACTTATTTATGATTAAAAGCTCACAGGAGTTGGCCAGTTAGCCTTGAAATGCATTCACATTTCTTCTTCTTTACTCCAGTTCACTGTAGCAGAGCTGCTTGGTTGTTCACCCATCATCCGTCCAAGCTATGCATCCAGCCCATCACAGCTGGGCTTCATTATTAATGTCTGGCTTGTCTCCATTGCTCAGTGTATATTAGCTTGAACTGAATACGAGTGTAACAGGGGACCCAAACCCTGTTAGCTGGGGAATAAGAGAAAGGGAGAAGAGTGAACTGTAGGAGGGGGCGGAGAGGCTCCTGCTTCTTTGAGAAAATGCAGCAGACTCAGCTGGATGTGGCTGCAGAAAGGCAGGCTGGCCCTTGAATGACAGGGAAAGCTCTGCCCAGAGCTCAGGGCATCACATGACCAAAATGGGGTGTGGCTTCAAGCCACACAAGCCTAGGGCAGGGGTAGGCAACCTCAGGCACATGTGCCAGAGCATGGCATGCAAAGGCATTTTGCTTGGCACATGTGCCTTGGGGCAGATGGCAGGAAGGGGCCAGGGATGCACTGCCACAACAAAGATCAGGTCCCTCATGACTTCCTCACTGTCCACCCTGGCATGCTAACTCACAAGTTAAGGTTGTAGGTGTTTTTGGCACTGACCAAAAATGTTGCCAACCTCTGATCTAAGGTATGATCCAGAGCAGTCAGTCTGGCTCTGGGAGCTGCTGGGGGAAGGAGACTGCCATAGACATTCCCCTGCACCAGAGAGCACATGTGACCCTTGAGAAGACTGCAGTCTTAGCTAGAGCTGCACTGATACGTCGGTCCGATATTGGATTGGTACCGATATAAAAAAGATTGTGTATATCAGATATCAGCCCAATGGAGCCAATCATTTGGCCAATAAATGCCTGTTCTGTGTGCAGTCACAGCTCAGCATGGAGAAGAGCTGGGAGTATGGAAAGCTGCCTTCAGCCGGTAAGTTGGAAGGGGAGCATGGAGGGAACGGGTGTGGGGGGGCAGATCAAGGCTCTCCATGCTGAGGGAGGGAGCAGGGAAAGGTGCTGCCCAGCCAGGGGGGGGGGGGG